CTTCCCCTCCCCCTTTTCTGATGAAGGGTCAAGGCCCGAAACGTCAGTCTCTCTGCTCCTATCATGCTGCTTGACCTGCTGTGTTCATCCAGCCCTGCACCTTGTTGTCTCGGATTCACCAGCATCTGCAGTTCCTACTATCCCTGGATTCTTCAGTTTACTCTTGTAATTTAAACTCCTTCATTTGAGTCCATTGTCATAAATCTTTCTCGCATCCTCCTTAATACCTTCACATTTTTCTGAGTTACAATGCCCAGATTGAACCCTATATTCTCGTCAAAGCAGAACTAGTGTTTTTTAATAGTTCTCCCATCTTCCTTGTTTTTGTACTGCATGCTTTGATTTAAAAAGCCTGGGATTCTGTGTGCCTTCTCAACCAGTTTTAACTTGCTTTACTGGTTTCATATATTTGTGCCCATATACCCAGGATCTCTCTGTTCCTACACCCTGCTTTAGAATTGTAACCTTTGGTTTATAATGCCTCTCATTTATATAACTTCACACTTTTTTGCATTGCAGTTAATTTGCCACATTTGCTTCCCACTCTGGAAGACTGTTTTGAAGTCTTATCGCTGTGAGTTTAAGTAACCGGGCAAAAGTTGATAAATGGAGTATAATGTGGGAAAATGTGAAGTTATTCATTTTGGAAAGGAGACAAAAGAACAGTGTTATTTAAATTGAGAAAATACTGCAGAAAGCTCCAACACAAAGGGGCTTGGAGGTAATTGTGCATGAAACACAGGAAACTAGTGCATGGGTGCAACAGGTAATCAGGAAGGCTAGTGGAATGTTGGCCCTTATTTCAAGGGCGTTGGAGTACAAGAGTAGGGAAGTCTGACTGTACAAGGTGCAGGTGAGACCACATCCAGAGTACTGTGAACACTTTTGGTCCCCTTGTTTAAGAAAAAATATTACTTCCTTGGAGGCTGTTCAGAAAAGGTTCACTAGGATAATTCCTGGTATGGAGGTATTATCTTTGAGTGAATAAACAGGTTGGGACACTCTTTTCTGGAATTGAGAGGTGATTGCATTGAGACAGGGTAAATGCTGAGAGGATGTTTCCCCTTATGGTAAAGTCTAAGACCAGACAGAATAGTCTCCGTTTTCAGGGCACCAATTTATAATTGAGATGAGGAGGAATTCCTTCTCGGAGGATTAAGTGTCTTCAGAACTCCTTGCGGCAGAGAGCTCTGAGGACAGAGTTCTTGTATATATTTAAGGCTGAGACTGTGTCTTGACAAGCAGGGTAATTGAGAGTTATGGGGAAAGGACAGGACACTGGAAGTGAGGAGTTTCAGGTCAGCAATGATCCTGTTGAATGGTGCAGCAGCCTTGAGGGACAGGATGGCCTATTCCTGTTCCTATTTCTTCTGGTCTTATGGTTTCACTATCATCCTCATAGGTCACAATATTTCTAAGTTCTGTGTGGTCTGTAAATTTTGAAATACACCTGAGTTTAGGTCAAATACATAATACTTATATCAATTAAAGCTAATCCTTAGGCCCCAGTGTACAATTTTCCTTTGCGGGGAAGAAAAGCACTGTTCAGCACTACATGAGTACTGAAGAGGGATCACTGGACCCTAAAGATGAACTCTGATTTCTCTCCACAGATGTTGCCAGACCTGCTGAGATTTTCCAGCAATTTCTGTTTTTTTTTTGTATTTGCTTCTGATTTCCAGCATCCGCACTTCTTTCTATTTACTGTCCCGCACTACATTTTTAAAATATAGAATAGAATCCCTGCAGTGGGGAAGCAGGCCATTTAGCCCATTGAATCTGCACTGACCCCCTGAAGAGCTCCCACCCAGAGCCACTCCCCAACTTATCCACCTAACCCTGCATTTCCCACGGCCAACCCACCTAGCCTATGTATCTCTAGACACTATAGCCAATCCACCTACCCTGCACGTCTTTAGACTGTGGGAAGAAATTCACACTGACACAGGGAGAACGTACAAACTCCACACAGATAGTTGAGGCTGAAATCAAACCCTGGTCCCTGGCACTTGAGGCAGCAGCTGAGCTGCCCACTTTGTTTGCTGTCAGTCAGTCAAATTCATCTCTGTGCTGCCACTGTACCTTTTCTTCTACAGGTTTCAACTTTGCTTGCAACCCTATTATGCAGCACATTATGAAACATCTTCTGAAAGTTTGTGTACACTATATCATAATCATCTTCAGCCATCTCTGTCATGTCATCAAAAAAACTACATTCAATTTAGTTAGTCACAATCATACTGGGTTTTTAAGTTAATGCATCCTAGTCTGAAACTGTTAATTTTGTTCTGAATGATCACTAATAAAAACTTTCCCACCACTGAGGTTAAATTGTCTGGTCTGTCGTTTCTGCATTTATCCTTGTCTCTTCTGGAATAAGGTTTCAATTTAGTTTTTATATTTTTAAAAACTTTTTGAGCAAAGATGCAGCAGTTGATTCCCAGGATACTGCTTATGAATAACATCTTGTTAGAGAATGAGTCAGCCCTTAATCATGTTCAAGAATCTTAGAACTAGTGATTTTAATGTGTTTTTACAACAGTGGAGATCAAAGGTATTCTTAGCTCTCCCTAATTGGTGGGAACCAATAGTGATTATATAAACACATCTCAGCAGTAGAACTGAACACATGTAATTTGCATCCAGAATATGGGTATATTCTCAGTAAATCACACATATGATTCATTTTGATCATTCTATGCAGAAATACTTGCTTTGTTGCTTAAATTTGGAGGAATGTATAAATAAGTTGCTGCTTCTTTCCAATTTCCATGCAAATTTTCATTTCTGGCAACTCCTCACCCTGGCATTTCAGTCTCCTGGTGGAAACAAAAGTGAAAGAAGAGCTTTATTTTTTGGTCATGGAATTAGGTGTCACTGGAAATGCCAGTATTTATTGCCCATCCCCAGTTGTCCTGGAGAACATGCTGGTAAAGTGCCGCCTTGAACTGTTACAGTCATAGAGTCATAGAGATGTACAGCGTGGAAACAGATTCTTCAATCCAACTCTTTCATGCCAACCAGATATCCTAAATTAATCTAGTCACATTTGCCAGCATTTGGCCCATATTCCTCTAAATTTTTCCTATTCATATACCCAACTAGATGCCTTTTAAATGTTGTAATTGTACCAGCCTCCACTACTTCCTCTGGCAGCTCATTCCATACATGCACCAGCTTCTGTGTGAGAAAGTTGCTTTTAAATCGATGTGCTGTAGGTACGACTGCCTTTGTCCTTCTAGGCGGTAGAGGTTGCAAATGTGGAAGATGCTCTCTGGAGATTTGGTGATTTATTGCAGTGCATCTTGCGATGGTGCATGCTTCTGCCACTATGTTAGTGTAAAGTGAACAAATATTAAGGTGGTGGAAGGAGCACCAATTGAGCCCTGGATAGTGTTGAGTTTTTTAGTGTTGTTAAAGCTGCACCTATCCAAATAGATGGACAGCATTTTATCTCACTCCTGACTTGCGCCTTGATGGTAAACAAGCATTGGGAAACGATGAAGTAAACAAGAGTAACACAGATGAGATAACAAGGTGTAGAGCTGGATGAACACAGCAGGCCAGGCAGCACCAGAGGAGCAGGAAAGCTGATGTTTCAGGTCTGGACCCTTCTTCAGAAACACAGATGAATTGTTTGCCATGCTACTGAGTTTGCCCATTTTGGAGTGATTAATTGGATGGTATAACACTGACTGATTTGACTTTCACTCTCGTGTTACCCAATTAGATATTGATAGAGTTGAACAGCAGGAACATAGTGGATTGTCAATGGAGAGTAACACGTGGAATCTTGTTTGGAAATGCAGTTAACAGTGTATGTAGCAGAGTTAAATACTGACTGAAGAGCCAGATGTGGCAGCAATGGGCAAAAACCAACCTCCAGTGGTAAATAAAATGACTGTGTTGAGGTATGGTCAACTTGATCATTTTCGTTTCTCACCAGGCATGTGATGTTAAAGTGACCATTTGTGGCTTGCTGATCAGAATTGTAAAATTCAATAATACTGCCTATGAATTTAACCTGGAACACCTCAAGGGAAAAGGCCTGTTTTGAGTTCATGCTTAATTAAACTTTTTCTTTCATTTTAATTCTGTTCTTACCATTTGATGAGCAGCAGCATTCAGCTAAACGTGAATACTAACTTGGGGGAACAAGTGAAGGGGAGGGCAGCAAAAAGATGAACAACAAAGAAAGTTAACACTTCATCATGGAAGTCCTCATTCTAGCTTTGAAGAGAAAAATTTCAGTGTATCATAACTATACCTACAGCAGCGTAAATCTGCCGAGTGAATCCAATCACAGAACTTAAGAGTACAGTATCAGATCTCTATCATTTTGATCGCAAATAGATCTGAATAATATTCCGAGAGGAGAATCATGGGGTCATGTTTATAATTGTTTTGAGTGTTTGCACTTAATTATTTAGCCATATTGTTTTCATCTGTTCTTTATCTGTTTATATAATTTTTTTTTCACAGGTGGCCAGAGGAACTGGATACAGGTATTTTGTAACGGAGGTGTTCCAACAGAGATTGCCTTACTTTATATGATTGAAACTGGGCCGGGAGAAATTGCAATTGATTTTTCAAAGCAATACACTGCCTCTTGGATGTCCCTCTCTCTCCTGGGAGCACTGGCTTGCAGTTCAGGTGATACCTGGGCATCAGAAATAGGAAGCGTCGCCAGCAAAACACAACCAAGACTGATCACCACATGGGAAAAGGTTCCCATTGGTAAGAATCCATATCGTTTGCTAAAAGATGCCAGAGTCAGTAAATACCCATATCGATATCCTGTAATATTTATTCGACCAAGAAAAGGATATTTTATTTGTAAAAGTTGAAAAACTTATCATTAGCAACCAAGCTTTATTAAATACGCCAACATTGTGCAAATTGGACCAAATTCTTCCACTAGTGCATCCTAATCACATCAAAATCAGAGGCTATTGTGCACTTATGAACTATTTCAGAGCCATTAGTTTGTTTCTGCTAGATTTGGCCGATAGAATTGCTAATGCTAAATGAAAGTAAAACCAAAGAAAAGAAGAAAAATAATGCATAGTTTAAAAAAACATCTTCAGGCTGAAATTCCCTCTCTAACGACATTTGTGGGTCTACCTATAGTATATGGACTGCAGTGGGTGAAGGAGGCAGCTCACCATCGTCTTCTCAAGGGCAGGTAGGGAAGTAAATGCTGGCCCAGCCACTGATGCCCACATTCCATGAGTGAGTTTAAAAAAAACAAAATCTGAACTGACTAAAAGGAGTTTTTTTTTTCAGGTACTAATGGAGGAGTAACCTTTGTAGGCCTTGTGTCAAGTTTACTTGGTGGAATGGCTGTTGGATTAGCCTATCTGTTAACTCAGTTGATGTTTGTGGAGGACCTGGATACTTCACCACCTCAGTGGCCAGTTGTTGTATATGGTGCTGCAGCAGGTTTCCTTGGTTCTGTTTTGGATTCCTATTTAGGCGCTGTGATGCAGTATTCAGGTTTGTATTTTTTAAGTTGTTAAATGCCAATGTTTATTTTTATTCTGCTTCCTGATTGTAGTTGTAATGGTGAAGAAAATATTTCTTACTTTGTTCCTGTGTGCGCTGACTTCGAGATTGATCAAGTAATTGTGCTGCATTGTTTTGAATGAAGTGAAGCCTTTCCTTCGCTGCAATGTTCCCCAGCGAAGGAGCAATTACATAAATAAATGTGTGAAAATGAATGATACACAGTCGTACATAAATCGTAGTGAATGTGTATCATAAATGCATTAATGCTGTTGAATGCTATGTGTCATTCAACATGCAGGCAAATTAATGAAACTTTCAAGCCAGGTTTCTGAAGAAGGGTCGAGGCCCGAAACATCAGCCTTCCTGCTCCTCTGATGCTGCTTGGCCTGCTGTGTTCATCCAGCTCTACACCTTGTTATTTCAAGCCGGGTTGTCAAGTTCACAGGCCATCTCTACAACTAAAAACAAGAGTCATCTGCTCAAAAGTGCAGTGCATAATAGCTTAAGTTATTATATACAAATTTAAAACTCTTGAGTTCTAATCTTACTGAGGGCATAATTTTGCTATTCATTATAAATTAATAAATCATACAAAGCTGGAGTACAGGACCCAAATTGCATTATTGCATTGTAAATTTAGCTCCAGTAAATGTTTGCATTTCTTATGCCCTTACAGGTTTTGATGAAGACAGTGGGATGGTTGTCAATCACATTACTCCTAATGGAAGGCACATATCAGGGAAACCTATTCTGGATAATAATGCAGTGAATCTTTTCTCTGCCATCCTTATTGCTCTGCTGCTGCCGGGAATGACCTGGCCCTTTTGGCCAAGGAAATTAACAATTTAAAAACGTGGTGAAGGAGGATCCTAATTGTCGTCTGGCATAAAATACTGCATATGAATATTGCACTAATAATTAGAAATCGGAATTAAAATGAAGATGTACTAAAATACTTCAACAGTTCAACTTCGTGGAAGCATAAGCTGTACCTTCAAAATCTTACTTTGACTTATTGCTTGTTTGGAAATGTTATTTGGTTTCTTCAATCAAAAAGCTTACCCTCGTAATACATTACATCTCAGTAAATAGTTTGTTTTATTACAATTGATATTGTTGCTGCTTTATATTAACATTCCTTTCAACAACACCTCTAAAGCAAATAACATACTTAAATTATGTAACAACTCATAACTTTGAAGAACTTTAGGCAGAAAACCTTTGTTCCATCAAGCCCACTCTTCTAAATCACTGGTTTATTTCCTCCTTTATGATTCTGGATCTATATCGACATTTCAAATCAAAGTTTATTCAATGCATTTTTAAATACTGCTGTTTCGTTGTAAATGATTCTTACTGATGAGGTTTCACAATTTTATTACAGTTTTGCACCAGAAATTGCTGCCTAAATTTCAGAATTGTAAACTCTGTCTTCTAATCCTTGAATCTTGTATTTGACTGAAGAGTTGTGAACCCTGACAAGCAAGATTTTAAAAAAGAAACAAAGTTACTGACCAGCTTTAAGTCTGTGAGTGACTTGGGAGAAATAAATGCAAAATGATGTCACAGTTCCAAGAAGGGCTGGCAGGGATAATTTACAGGTAAATCTTAATTTAATCTACTATAAGATAAACAATATCCAGTAATTTGTTAACAGAGCTAATAAAAATTAACTCAATTCATTAAAGTCATATGTAAATCTTGAGTAATTAAACATACATCAGGATTAGCTGGTCTTGGGCTGTATCATAAGCTCGAACAAATGTGTTCACAATAAGGAGAAACTTCTGATCGGATTTGTTGAGCTGGAGTCCAAAACCTGGGGGCATTGTAGAGCGGGAAGAGTTACCAAGATTGTTTGATTGAGGATACAGTCACACCCTTTCGTTTACTTCATTTACTTGAATTTAATTTTCCATACCTACAGAAGGTTTTTAAATCAGTTTTGTTCACGCTTGTTTACTCATCTTCTAGTTTCTCTTTGTTAATTTCTTGGTGATCTTTCATTTCCGGGGAGACAGTGGCATCGTGGTAGTGTCACTGGACGAGTAATCCAAAGGCCCAGTGACATGGCCACTGTGCCAAGTTCTAATACTTTCTACACAGATTCAAATCCCAATATGGCAGCTGGTGAAGTTTAAACTCCATTAACGATTGTAGAATTAAAGGCTGCTCTTGCCAATGGTGACCACAGCAGTTATTGTCAATTATTGTAAACCAACCCACCAGGTTCACTAATGTCCATTAGGAAAATAAATCTGCCGTCCTTACCTAGTCTGGCAGGTCTGGATGTGACTCCAAAGAGCCAAAGCAATGTGATTGATTTGGAAGTGGACTCACAAGTCATGCTATTCAAGACGAATTAGAAACGGATAACAAATGTTAGCCTTGTCAGTGATCACATGAAAGAATAAAGGAAAATAACCTCAAATTCTCTCAATATTGCCTCTCCTGCTGACAACAGCTTAAGCTGCTTGTTTTATCTATCTTTCTAAATTATTCTGTTTGATCACTTGTGTTGAGTTTTTATTTCTTAAGGAAATGTACATTTTCTGTGAATTCCTTTCCTTTTTTGTTTTAAAAAGGACACTGATCCCATCCCAGTTTAATCGGAGCCAAATCAGAAAGAACAGCTTCCTTATTTCTCGGTAACAGTGCCTGTGCGCCTGGATTGATATCCCTGCTGCTCATACAATGCTTTTAGCCATGCATTAAGAAAAAAACCTTCTGATCCATTTAGCAAAACAGGCAACAATCTAGAATTTAGTATTGCATTTTCCAATTCATTTTAGCCCTCCCTCTTTCTGACTGTCGTACCTTTCCTCCTGATAGATCTCATTCTGTTTTCTCAGTTTAACAACTATCAGCTTAGAAGTTTTTTTTAAAATCAGTTATTATCAGTATGTAAAAAAGAATTAGTGATGTAAAATGTAATGGCGGAAAAGAAATTGGCAAAGGCAATAAGTGGTAGATCGTAAAAAGAAAGCATTCTGGCAAGCTCCAATTTCTTGTGTTCTTATGAACTTCTTGGACAGAAATTCTTAATACTTGTGGTAATTTATGAAACCCCGTTGACCTCTTCTCCAGGTAGTAAATTAGCATAAGCACGTACAATTACTATTTAACATAGCTAACATTTACGTTTTTTTAAATATCGAACTAATTTAGGCAAACACATTGAAATATCCAATTGCATTACATTTTAAACCAATAGCGTCCAAATATATGCTCACTATAGCCCACATTGTGCACTCAAGGTTTTATTGGTAGAGGGATTGAGTTTCGGAGCCATGAGGTCATGTTGCAGCTGTACAAAACTCTGGTGCGGCCGCACTTGGAGTATTGCGTACAGTTCTGGTCACCGCATTATAGGAAGGATGTGGAAACATTGGAAAGGGTGCAGAGGAGATTTACCAGGATGTTGCCTGGTATGGAGGGAAGGTCTTATGAGGAATGGCTGAGGGTCTTGAGGCTGTTTTCGTTAGAGAGAAGAAGGTTAAGAGGTGACTTGATAGAGACATACAAGATGATCAGAGGATTAGATAGGGTGGACAGTGGGAGCCTTTTTCCTCGGATGGTGATGGCTAGCACGAGGGGACATAGCTTTAAATTGAGGGGTGATAGATATAGGACAGATGTCAGAGGTAGGTTCTTTACTCAGAGAGTAGTAAGGGCGTGGAATGCCCTGCCTGCAAAAATAGTAGACTTGCCCACTTTAAGGGCATTTAAATGGTCATTGCATAAACATATGGATGATAATGGAATAGTTTAGTTCAGATGGGCTTCAGATTGGTTTCACAGGTCGGCGCAACATCGAGGGCCGAAGGGCCTGTACTGCGCTGTAATGTTCTATGTTCTATGTTCTAAAGCCTCAGCAATTAAAATTACATTTAGAGTTTAAATTTGTATTTTCATTTGAATACATTACAAGTTGCTAATATAAGCAAATCCTGTTATTTAGATTTAAGATTCATTTAACAATGAGGTGATTCTGCTTAAAACAACCCTCTATAAATGTTAGCCAAACTAGTAACTAAGAAATATAAACATAGGTGGAATTAAGTTGCCCAAAGTTCAAGGCTCTTGAGCAACTCACTGTCTACAGTTTGTACATTTATATCAACTGTAATGAATTTAGAATCAAACATTTATAGAGCCAGATGTTTGAATTTAGTTTCAGATTATTTGTAAATGTGGCATGAAAATATGTTGACCAATAACATGTAGCATTTTTTCTGTCTTCATGACCTCATTGTCTGAAGTACTTTTTTTTAAAAACACTAATCTGTTTGGATGTGTTATGACACACTTCTGTGGCAGGTGGGGCTTTTTAAAATTATTCATTCAAGGGATGTCAGCATTGTTGGCTGGATCAGCATTTATTGACCATCCATAATTGCCTGGAGAGCAGTTAAGAGTCAAGCACAAACAAAAACAGAAAATACTGGAAAAGCTCAGTAGGTCAGCATATTCCTTTGGGTCTGGAGTCACATGTAGGCCACGCCAAGTAAGGATAGCGGTTTCCTTCCCTAAAGGACATTAGTAAACCGAATGGGTTTTTCCAATACAGTCAGTTCTGATATAATGTGATAGTTCCATTCTTGTGCGATCTCGCATTCTAAGAAAATTGCGCAATAACCACGCCATTTAAACTAATGGACTGGAATTGCATTACAGCTAATATTAGTAAGGAATATTCGCGTTCTACAAGTAGTGGTCTAAATTCTCCGATCACGTTAAAGCCAATTCACGCTGAAGAAACACGCTTTATAGCAGAACTAACTAATATACAATGGTTTCATGGTCATCATTAGACTCTTAATTCCAGATTTTTTAAAATTGCAATTACATTCCACCATTTGAGCCCAGGTCCTCAGATCATTACCTGGGTCTCTGGATAAAAATCTATCGATACTGTCATTAGACCACCGGCTCCCTATTGAAGCTGGACCTCTGGCACAGAAATAAGAAAAATACCACTATGCCACACAAAACCACTATACATTTTGAACTATCTCCGGAATTGTAATTTAAGTCAGTTGTTGGGTACGTGTTTTCCCCCCAGTGATAGGAATAACCAGGCATGGAACTCCACTTGTCTTCTTTAACTCTTTATTGCAGAAGGGTGGCAGTTACATGGATGGTACAAGACAACTACAAAGATGTGACAGCTTCATAGATGTTATAAGGCAACTGCAACCTGTCCAATCATGGCTCATATTCTTATACTCTTGTGGTTTCTGTGATGTGCTTGTAACTATATTTGTTCTGTCTGTTAGGCTAATTTATATCTAAAAACTTATCCCTGATCTCATTAAGTCCAGAACTGCTATTCTTGCTCTGTTAATAGCTGCTAAGAACTCATTCCTGATCTAATTAAGTCCAATTTAACCTTTTCTTGCTCTGTGGGCTTCCACTGAATCCCACACAATAGAATGGACCAAAATCCCACAAACAGCAGTGAGATAAATTGGTCAAATGAGACATCTTTGGTGTTGGTTGAGGATGAAATATTGATTAAGACATCAGAGAAAATCCCATTCTTCATATGAATTCTCTGTTGAGTTCACTCTGCCAATCAATGAGATCATGGCCAATCTGATAATTATGCAGTCCACTTTCCTGCCATTTTCCAATTCCCTTTCTGATTAAAAATCTGTCCAACTCAACCTTGAATATACTTAATAACCCAGCCGTGATAGCCCTTGGTGGTAAAGAATTCCACAGATTTATAACCCTCAGAAGAAATTCCTCCTCATCTCTGCCTTACATGTGCGACCCTTTATTCAGAGATTATGCCTTCTGGTTCTAGACATTCTAATGTGGGAAAACAACCTTTCTGCATCTACCCTGTCAAGTCCTCTAAGAATCCTGCGTTTTTCAATAAGGTCACATCTTATTCTTATAAATTCCAAAGAATAAATGCC